ATTGTAATATAGAACAATTTCTTCGTGTATGCGACTAATGAAAATAACATTATTAGATATAGAAATGAAATGTTCCCGATTTTTGTGTAAAATAGAAGCTTTATCGTCGCGAAGAAATCTATTCTACAAGAAAATTCGTTGATTAAATAGAACGAGTTAAAGACAATGGAGCAAAGAACGAATGTAAATCGTACGAATTCTTGATCGAGCGAAACGGCGTAATTGTCGCGACGTTACCTCGCGAATACGCGATTGTTGCATGAGGACGATAACGCGTCGAACATGTGACGCTACTTACGCAACCGATCGTTTCTTTTCTCTCGGTTAGATATGACAAAGGGGGATTTCTGAATGCATAATTAACGCGGAACTCGGTACGTTCGCGTTTATTCAGCGATTTTTATGCAGCGTGTCGACAATCAACTCTCCTGGAAAAACTATTCGAAGATTTGGGAGAACGTTGATCCTTGCGGGGAATTCGATCCTCTTGAAAAATGATAATTTAGAAATTTGATAACATACTGATTTTGTTTGATAGAGAAATTCAGGATAATTATACGAGTCCTGATATTAAATTTCTGCCACAATTTTTCTATAGATTACTTTATTTATATTTCTATAAATGTTCAACTGTAATCAAAATTTATCTTCGCTGGTTTAAATCGTATTAATTAACGAACTCGCGTTCTGAATTACCGAACGAACTTTTAAAACAATTCGATTCGTTCTTTTTATCAGATTAATCCTTTATAATGGAAGTTACATTCACATATGCCTATGTTCTTCAATTTTTGTTTTATTTCCTTATCTGTTGTACCCTTGTATTTTATCTCTACGTCATTATACTGTTACCAAGCAATCTATTTCTAACAATTATGGCTTTTCAGTTTTCAGATCACAGTAAAAAACTATAATCAATTTCAACCTTTTTTCTTGGAAGCGAACAAACGTTCCTTACATACTTACGTCGCAAATCCAAGTCGACACATACGTTTATGATATCGACTTGGATGCGGGAAGCTAATTAAAAACTTTCGTAACACATAATTCGTGTAAACGATATGTATAATCTCGACAATATTACGCAACATATGCAATTTATAAGTTATTTTCAAATTTATAAATAAAACGAATATATATATTGCATTTTAATTTTCCAAATATAACGGTATAACATTAATTATTATTATTATTATTACATAAGTAATATTCTACGTAAAAGATTATCTTTTAACGTATCCTACATATAGTCCACAGTGGAAATCACAAAATAGAACTTACATAAATTTTGTATCGTTGATCGCGAATCTTCAAATATAACGATTTTTTTTTTTTATATAGAAATAACATATACATATAAACATATTTTAATTTACCATGCATCGAAGATTGATTAAAATCTATGGAATTATTAAACATTTTAGGAAATAAATTTGCCAGTTAACACGTTGATTACTAACAATATCAATGAATATCAATGATTTATTACGATATAAAATTAAAAGCATTTGATCGGCGTTAAACACGTCGAGTAGGAACTTCTACAATTTCTAACTGTGAAAAAACCTGGAAAGTCGGTTCGACGATCGGAACGGAAAGTAGAGGAAATTAGACTGATTACGGGTGTCCTGTCTGAAGGTGATTTGTCGTGAGACCGAGCATCGACAATTTTTCGGACAAAGTCTTGACGACATTACGCGTTGAAGTTGAAAGTGGTATCGCTATAAAAGCGCCACGGGAACGAACTAAAAATGGACTATGGGAGAAACTAAGGATCGCGCAGCAAGGATGCAGGAAAACTGAAGAAAACGTACACCGGCGCGACTAAATAGCCTCGAGTATCAAATCGCTCGTAGCGAAGGACCATTTAAGGCCTCGTGCCATAAGCAATACCTCTCGGTGATGAAACTCTATCTGCAATCGCGGTAGACTGAAACGATTAACGTATTAGAAGGTTTAACTTGATCGGCCAAACTACGAGTCAACAGTGACCCACAGAGCAAAAGGAGTTTTCTCACCGATCGCTCGCGTATATTTCTACGTCACATTTTTTTTAGTTTCCTTCGCTTGATGAATTACTTGCTATACCAGCTACGAATTCTCTCGTCGTCGCGTAATCGACAAAGTTACAGCGTCAGTTTTCGTTATACGACGGCTATCAGAGGTCGGCGCAGATCGCGTATGCATAATTGAAGAAACTGCGCGTATCTTACACTCGTTTGAAAAAATTGTATTCGTCGCAGTATAGATTAGAAAATATTTAGCTTTGAACGATAGGCATCTATATTTTTGCTATTATTATAATTATGCAAATTTCTCGGATACATTAGTTGATAATTTTATTTATTAAATGATTATATTGTTATAGAGATTAACCTCGCGTAAGTACTCGATAAGAAGAAATTAGTTTAAAGGAATAGAAAAATACGTAAAGAAAAACGTTTACCGACACGTAATCGTGGTAAGTATAGTTAAGAAACAAGACAGAATATAATTGGAGGATCGCCTACTTGTGCGACTTGATCGGGCAATTAAATCGACCCGATAAAAACGTTATTTTATCAAATAGACAGACAGCTTATTAAAACGTGATAGCGTGGTTGTATCGAATAGTACATAATTCATGCTTAAATTACACACTCTGTTAAAAAGAATATCTTTCTTATGCAATATACGTTCATAACGCCTACTTTGTTTCAGAAGAATATTTCAGAACAACACAGCGAACAACCTAGCCTTTCCAATGATTCTTCGCTAAACAAAATTACAAAACAAAATTATATATAAAATAGAATTTCTAAAAATCACTCTAAAACTGTATCGAGTAAACGAGAAGATTTAATATAGAATTATAAAATCTTAAACGGCAAAACTATATTTTTCAAAATACCATATTCTAAAGAATTCTTAATCTATACATACATAAATAGTTAAATCTCTTTAAAAACCTACTGTGTAACAAAATATAATCCCTGAAACTCGTCTGCAGATTGTTTCAAAACCGACAAAGCCAGCGATCGCCACCAAAGACTCGTTCCACCGATTGCAAGGTAAACGCCGCGAATAATCAGCTTGTTGGCAGTTCGATTTGGCGCGCGAACGTGCGCGCGAGCAGTTGGCTACGCGGTGGCGGATTTAAGATCGTGCAAATCCTTTGAGCCAAGCGGTGAACGTCACCGTTCGCAATAAAGTTAAATTACGATAATCTGCGGCGCACAATGCGCGACCGGCGAATCCTCGTTCACCCATGTCTCCGATCACGTAATCGTAGACACGATACGTACCGCTGATCATCATCATCCTTCGACGAGAAGCAAAAGAAGAGGAGGATGAGAAAGAGAAAGAGAAAGAATCATTATCGAAGCCTGTGCCGCGTTCATTTCTCACCAACACGATGGATCGTAAACGTATAACTAGATCTTCACAGACCTTTGACGCCTTTAATTATCATCGATTCTTTGCTCGATATTAAACGTTACTTCGAATAACTCGGTTTGAATTTGGCGCTTCAATGTTTTCATTTTAACGCTGGTAACTTGCCGACATTTTCCTTTAATGTGATGTACACAACATTGCAGCCGAAAGGACAACTGTTTGGAAACCCCAGTATTTTCAACAGTAAATAAAGGCAAATTCGCTTGACTCGGTACGCCGCTCTCACTTAAGGGTTCTGACAGGTAGAAAAAAGAAGCATACCGTTATACCCTGTCCTCGCATAAGAGCCTAGGTTTTCCTTTGTATAAAAGTCCCTTACTGCCTCTCGGCGAAGAAATTTTCAAACAGACGGTATTCCGTTCAGTGACCACTGCGTCAACAGTCGTTCAACATTCTGAGATATATTCTACGTTATGAATTTTCTATTAGACTGATTCATAACGTAGAATATTCTTTACTATGCTAACATTTTTGTAATATAATATTATAAACTTCCATATCTCTTGAATATTGAATAATTAGCCTATATATGCCTGTCAGCGTTCCGAAATGATGATTGGATGTAACTTTATTATATTTTATATTCAAGTACTTTAAATTCCCCGTGTTTTTTACCTTTCAAGTAAAGTTACGTCATACAGGCTGTTACGAAATAACGTCTGATTTTAAATTAAACAGTAGAAAAACAAGAACGATATAGAAAAGATGATGGAACTTCGATTTTGTTGTTTCGAAGTGGTGGATAGCAGAATAAATAAAGAAGGCAATGGCAATGTTTTAAGTATCATGAAAGAAATTTGGAAATATCTGTGTTTTAATGTAAGTAAAAAATGAATCATTTTACGTCGCGTTTCCAGAGATCGTTCAAATGGCTAAGGGAATTTCAAGAATTCTTGAACCGAAGAAGGCGGAAGTGGTTTCCAAACCTCTAATTTCTATCGTCGAACGTATTTCGTAAGTTACCATGGTCTGCCTCTCTCGGGTTTCATTGACGAGCGCTCGTGCATTATTTTAATTAAACGGCTCGCGTAAACGCTATTGTTTAATACGTTGTGGTGACGCCACTGGATAACTCGATGCGGTCGTGAGAGCCCGCGCGTGCGTTTCCAAGTGCAACAAAGAGACCATCGAGGGAAGAAGAAAGAAAAAGCGATTAACAGAAGGGAGAAGAGAAGGACGATCCTACGAGCAGTTAAGAGAGAGAAGGTTACGACTCACAGGCACGGATTTAGGCGTGGGATGGTGAGGTAGTATAAGGATGAGGGCCCTTTCGCTCTCGATGCACGCCAAAGTACTGTAGTTCCCTGTTTGCCACCACGCTGCACAACGTACTAGCAATTTTTACGCACGATTATAATATATTACCTTTACGTGTCATTTCGAATCCTGTTTAACAATTTAAACACCGACACGTTACATTTAAAATTTGCTTCTTAATTAAAAATTTTGTTCGTTCGTCATATGCATTTTAGATGTTAATAACATGCAAAATATTTTGTAATGCATTTGTAGGTATTTCGGTAATTCTTCCTTTCTACGTCAATTTCATAAAGTTTCTAGAAAAAGCGACATCTTGAAATTAAAAACGCAAGAAAAGGTCTTCGTAGTCAAAGTCAAAGTTCCGATATAATACGTTCGTTGCCTTGAAATACTTAAACTTTCCCCTATGTGGTGAACTCAGACTAACACCCTCCTCGACGTTTATTCTTGAGCCGGCTGGGGTAAGCTTCGTGATGCATAATGGAGCTACCCGATTGATATCCAAGCAACCGTCCAAACTTCTACGAGCTCAAATACAATGTCGGTTTAAACTATGGACACGATGGTTCGGTCGCAGAGCCACACCATAAAACAAAGAAGAAGCTATTTAAAGCTATATTCAAAATCAGTTTCTGCCATAACAGTTGTAAATATTTATACCAATAATTTAATTAATATTGTCAAAAGAGTATGCATAATCTTAACAAAAATCATTGAATAAGATAATTGGAAGAATTATCCAGAAAATAAATATCAAATAATGTTTATCTTTATATAAATTATTATTACTATTCATAGGTTGTGAAGGTTAAAACGAGTGACAACGCTAATAGAATTATAAGTGAGTACAGTTATATTCGATTCGTTGTGTTTTATTCTATTTCATCTATACATACATATATACATCGATATAGTTGTAGCCTGCGACAAGGCAACGCTGCGACCGATCTTTCGAGGCTGCCGCTGGAAAGACGTTCGAGATGACCGTGATTGTCTGAAACATACACACACGTATCAATCTAAACATCCGTGACACGTAACGAGGACTCGAAGAGCAACCTCGTATTCATCGGCACACAAATACAGATATAACGCGTGAACCGACCCATCATTCTGTATACGTACACGTATATATTTACATGCCGGTGTATTGGACGCGCACAGGCGCTCGTACAACTTAACGTGAAATCCCGTTTCAACATTCCCGATCTACGTTTGAATTTGTCGAAGAATACGTCCAAACGTATTAACGGAATGCACGTGCTTTCGAAAATGTGAAAACTATAAACCCGTCAAAGAATTATTTCAAGGAAAAATAACAGGTTCCATAATATACAAATTAACCTCGAAATTTTTCAAGAATTGTCATACAAAAAATATACTACGCTAGCAGTTGATACGATGCATAAAATAATGATAAAATTGATCGATGTTATCAATGAAGGTATTTTCTACGGCTTGGATTTTTATTAGAACAGGTTTAAGACAATTTACAAGATTCTCCGCAAATTGTCTAAGTAATTTCAATTTGCCCGACTAATCGATCCTGTTTGTAACAAGATCGCGTTAAACATCCCATTCGAGGCGATCGGTTATACAGCGTAGAGTAGTATGTACACACGATATACCACTATCGACAGAGGCACGCATACCCGTTGGTACATAAGTTCCGGACGGCGTACGTAGAAATGCCACATGCACCTCGGTTTCGAAGGGGTCTGCGTGCGTCCCGGTAGCGACAACAACAGCACGGGAGCAACCGAGAACGGAAGACAGAGGACGGTAGTGTAGAAAGAGAGAGCGTGCGCTCTATAGAAAGAAAGAAAGAGAAAGAGACTGGAGGAACGGAGAAAGAGAAACGGACAGACGTACTTCGTTTCTCGGATCGAGCAGTATGTACGAGGACGAGAGAAGAGGACGGTGGTGATGTTACAGGGGGACCTTTCCCTCTACCGCGTGGCTCCACCCACACGCCGCCACCGCCGCCGTCGAGGCGCACAATCTGGCAACAGTGGCTCGCTATAACCGATATTGTGGCCGTGGATTGAATGGAGGGGAACTAGCTCAGGTCAAACCTCCCCACCGGCACGACAACCCTCGGTTGGTGGAGCGACCCCTCGCCACTGTTCACTCTCCGTCGTTTCTCACCCCACCCAACCCCTATGCGTCCTTCTTTATCCCTATCCATCTGCCTCTTTCCTTCCTTCTCTTCCCCCACTCGATTGAACCGCATCATCTCCCCTTTCCTCTTGCTTCTCTACGCTTGTCGTTCGTAGTCTGCCGTATCCCCACTTTCTATCCATTCGACTGTCTGCGTCTTTATGGAGTGGCACACGCGTGTGCTGCAGTATTCGTGCGTCTGTGCGTTGGGTGCGAGTGTCGCGCTGCTGCTAGATGGCGTTCGTGTGCGCCTGCGCCTGTGTACGTGCGCGCGTGTAACTACTCCCACCACGTCATCCACGCTCTACCACTACCGTTAGTATCCTCATCGTAGTCATTCTAACACCAACAACCACCAACAGCACCACCACTCTCACATTATCCTGTGTCTGCTGCTTTTGCTACTCTCTACCATCAACATCAGTTACCAACGCACACAAAGATACGTTCGCGTTTGTGTGATACAAGATCGTACGCGAATCGACGGACAGGGACACACACCGTGGATATACAGAGAGTGTATACACACAGCACGGATCCAATAGAGAGCGCGCATGAAGAGGAGCAGGGACAGACTGTACCGTTAGAGCGAAAAGGACGGACCAAAGAGAGCAAGCAAGACAGATATTGGCCCCAACAGCCTCTCACTAGACAGTATTACTTTCAACCGTTTAGCGGGGCCAATGCTACCCGGCGCGGAGTAGTCAGTCAGCCGAGCAGTCAGAGTCAGCCGTCCGCGAATACCGAGAGGACGCTCTCTCTTCGTTCACGAGTGTCGTCGTCGACGATCATCCACGCGACGATTTCTCAAATGTTTTATCATCATCATCATTGTCCTCGAAGCTTCTGCAGTTGCTGCTTCTGTCACCGCCGTCGTGATCAATGTCCTCGTCAATTCTATTAACAGTTCGTCGTCGTGTTATACCATCGTCAGTGCATCTGTGACAGACTGTGAGCCGCACGCGTGTAATACGCACAACCGGTGGATATATATCTAAAGTTTACGAAAGTGTGTGAGAGAAAAAAAAGGAGAAGACGTGAACGAAAGAAATAAAAGAAACTTTATAACGACGAAAAAAGAAAAGAAGAATAAGAAAGAAGAATGAAAGTACATAGTTTTTGTATGCCGCAGATAGTTTGATATTCGTTTTCGACAATTACGATACGATTACATTATTAAACATAAACGTGATTGAAAACGACTCAAAGAGACAAAGTTGTGTGATAAAGTTGTTGCCGCTGGAGTCGCAAGGACACAACACCGGTGTCGGCCACGAGCAGTGGAGTTTTACCCTCTCTCACGACACATCCGAGTCGCACGCGCGTGCAACACTCTCTGGTGGGTTCCGCACGTCCAGCCTGAGTCGCGCGGACCGCGTTCTCGCTTGTTTTGTCGTTGTTATGACGAGGTGATGAATAGACGAAAGCGTTGCAGTGCCGAGCAGCGTGGTGACCGTGCTCGTCGTCGTGACGGACGATGACGATAAACGTAGACAGTTTTCGTGGACGCAGAGAAGTGTGCTCATTGGTGTGATCTAGTGTTTTATTCCTTGTAATATTCCATTTGCCACAAGAAAGAATTGGATTATACCGTGAACAAGGTGTATCGACCGAGGATAATGCGCCTCTGTGTCATCCTTTAGGTAAGTGGAAGTGCATTATTTCAGTAATACACGGGTACACGGCATTCTCGCAAGTGGTCGTTGGATTCTCAGGATAACTTCAAAATTGCAGTGACACGATCCTTTTGAAATTATGAATGAAATATTTCAATATAATTATTCTGTGAAAAATTAAATTTTATCCCTCGTTCAACGAAGATTGTGCAACCGTTCGTGTAACGACCATACAATGTTGATCGTGTTAATGAAAAGTCCCTCAAGTTGTTTATTATTCTTCGTTTAATGTTTTCTTCATTAATGAAGGTTGATGTTCATTGTATAAGACAGTTCATAAAACTGAATCTTAAATAAAAAATCGACAATGGTTCGCGATCTTTTAACTCGCCACTTGCTCGTTATTACATTGCAGTAGTAGATATTCTAACTGGCAAGGCGCTTTCACAACGGGTGATTGTTCTAAAGATGTGTCATTCTGTCTTACTCGTTTCTCGAGTCGATCCCGGTTAACCGCGGGGGAAAGAGTAAGAAAATGTCGAGAGAGGGAGCGAGAGATAGAAAGGTCTGGCATAGACGGGAGACACGAAAAGAGGCAGAAAGTCACGTCCACTATAATCTTTGATTGCCTAGAGGGTTGTAACGTATTATACTCGACGTATTAACACCTTTATGTGTAGCAAAACTATACACGCCGTGAAATGATCTGCTACCGAATCGGCTTATAAACCGTTAGTGAACACACTTGAATATTTTACAACGAATGTGATTACATATTCTTATGAGAATAGAATCCGTTATACGTTACGTTTTCTAGAAGGAAATAAAAGATGTTTCAGAATGTTTCAAGAAAATAACTCTAACTGAATTTCTTTCGTTTAGTATGTGTACATATACCTATTATTGAATTATGTATTCTCAATTGGTTCGTGCGTTTTTATCGATAGGTAACGAGTTATTGAGAGAATCTACGACCACGGCAGCAGCAGCAGCAGTGTGTATAATCCAGAATACGATCTTAATAATTCATTACCGAGAAAAGTTCAAATCTGTTTCACCGTTACGTTTCTGATATTGATGTACATCCGCGAATATTCTCGTTTCTGCTCAAATCGTGAAATGTATTATCATGAACGAGACAATGTCAACGAAAAATAAAAATATATATTATCAGTTGATCGCGTGATTCGCGAAAAAATGAACGATTTAAAGTCGAGTAAACGGACATGGCTCGGTTTCGATTGTACACTATCTCGCTTGCGATGACGATAATCGGTGGTATGACATTGTCACTGACGTTGTTATCAATCAACGTAAAGGAAAACGAAGTAAAATATAAAAATATCAATAAAAACGGAGAGATAGAGAATTGTATAGAAAGAGAGATGGTTAAAATTTGATCGAATTTTTATAATTAAATTAGATTTCTATAATTGAATGGAACGATATGCCTCATTTCGTACTTCGTATAGTACCGTGTGTAATAGATGCGGTCTTTGGCGTGCGCCGAGATAATCTTGGCAATATTAAACGCGCAATAGGCTCCGCTATGCCCGGGCTATCTAATCATTTATCGTCAACAGTCATACGCCAAGTCACTGTACTATCAACGATAGTTTGCCGAAACTGTACTTTCATGTATATCGCGCAGAGAACGCCGCTCGCCAGCAAATATAATCGACAAAGGCATACAACAGTTCTCCGCCCGATAACCAGTCACTTCAACGGATCTAAAAACTATGTCAGGATCCCTTGACATTTATGTGCTTCGTGGCTGCAGCCTTGTGGCGCCCCGCTTTACTGCCAGCTTTATTAGTTCATTTTTCGACGTTTTTTTCAAATAACTTCAATTTTTCTTTTTTCTTCTATCTGCTAGTTCTAAATTAACATTTTATGCTAATGAGTCAGAGTGGCAATTTAGATCGACGTATTATTGGTCACATTACTATATGAAAGTATTATCGTCCCCTGACCGTTATGGCGACTGAAGCATACCATTGTGTCTAATACATATCGTACTCATATATAGTAATTAAAGAGATCGAACCAAATTAAATTTCATATTATTTAATAGTAGTTTCATATGACTACAATTATTTGTATTATTAAAAATTAAATGTAGGATTTTATAAAAAAGCACTTTATTGAAAAATAAGGATGCGAGTGTACCAATATTTCTTGTAGCCACAGTACTCTATCTTATTTACTAAAAATCTACCATCTTTTTTTCAACTTCACAAATTACTACGTGTATATACATCGTTGAACGCATTACATCGATACTTCGCATTGCTTCGCGTACACCTTTCATCCAGTGTCCAGCGCTACTTCTACGAACGTTGAGCTTTCACCTAACGCCATAGTGACAGAACCACTGTTACGAGCGCACACAACCAAGAGAGGGGGGTACTTATCGAATGTGCTCCGTGCACGAGTACGCGTACGTGCATCGAACACACGCGATCTTTGTCCATATGCAGAGGCGCGGTTGTTTGCTATTCTCTTTCTCTATCATTCTTTCTCTTACATTACAACGTCTCCTCAGCGTGAACACAAGAAGTCGGTTTCGTTAAAAGCCTTCTAATCTCGATACAGGCCCCGTTGCGGTGGCACAATATCAGAAATAGGTTTGTTAAAATAAGCGTACACTCGATGGCGCATACCGTGCTTCCCAGGGACGTATTACCGCGGGGGGAATCACCCGGCGGATCACTGGTGGGGATGCAGTAGGGAGAGCCATGCTCTGTGCTGCACACACTTTGCCCTTATCCACAAATAAATGAGGTCGACTCGCCGATTCATACCTCGCGCGTGAGTCTACGGATTCTTCGACCGGAGAGTGCCATTTCCTTTTTTCCTCTCCTCTCGTATCTCATTATCTTTGTCTTTCTTTTCCATTATCATTGAATTTTTCTATGTAATAATCACGTTTGGATAACATAGAAAAATGTTTTAGACAAAGAGTTGCCGTAGTTCATAGATATATGTGCACGGCTGTTAAAATTTCACAGCAAATTTCTCATGACGAAGTCGTTGCTGTCGTATTGAACTTATGGTATATTACAGCCGTTTCGACAAAGGGGGTCGCTGCTATTTACCAAATTGGCAAATATCAGCGACTCAGGAATATATCGTCATCTTTGATTGCGCACTCTTCTTGTGGAGCGAGGGTACTTATTTGTCAAGGACGACTGACAGACGCCTCGGAACTGACGAGGAATTATGTCAGAGGAGCAGCACATTATAAATTCACCTTGACGCGTTGGCACGTAGAAAATTGTGGACATATCGTAATTTTCATTCCTTCGGTAGCCTGTTTCATGAGAACCGCCGCGTCGCTCTTTAATATTCCATTTTCTCAACGAGTATCCGTAAACCGTAAAAAAAAAAGAAAAAAAGAAAAGAAAAAGAGTAAAATTCGAATATCGTTGCTACATGACATAATTTATTTGGATATAAATTTCGAAATTGAAACGGTCAGGTTCTCTCGACTCGCCTCGCGAACAGTCGGAATTACTCGGAAAGTCGAAATTACCAACGGCAGGCAAGAAAAACTTTCGTCGAAAAAAGAAAAGGAACGTAAGCGATCATCCTATCCTTCGAAGACGGTCGCGTACGTACCGCTTGCGCAAACGATTGGTTTACACGCGACGGAATCCGTTCGGTTGGATTATGAAACGTTTGTTTTGCCGGCGCGAAGCGGCCGTTCGTGACGCTTGCTCTCGGTCCGACGACAATGGAGCAGCCTTCGAACATTATGTCCCCGCACGCGCGCTCAAGGTGAAGCGTAATTAAATTTTCATAATTGTTCGTTGCATAATGAGCTCTCGGGACGTGTGGTGGCTTTTGACGCGCATGACGCGCGAATCAAAAAGCCTCGATGCGGCAAACGAATTCAAATCGACCGCGCTATGCCACGTACCGATCACGGTCGACATAAAATCTTCCCGGAATCCGTTATCGCTGTCGCAGACCCGCTTTTATCCAAACGATTACGCGTTGCTATGAGAGTCGATATTACGTTTCAAACAACCGAAGAATAATATTTCGTTCGATGTTTCTTTTCTTTCGGGCGATCCATTTGAAGTTTGGGTTCGTTATTTTTAAAGAAGAATTATCTTATTTCTTAAGAACTGTTCGATTTTATAGTAGTATATACATTTGAGTGGCATATTATATACGATATATTATATGACACATAATCAGAGGTTTTTGTACATTTCATGGGGAGGGTTATTTAGAAAATAGTGACTAAAATGATAAAAATTGGCGACTAATTATAACAAATCAGCTCGATAATAGTATATGCTTCGTTTCTTTAGCTATCGGTTGTACTTACATTGCGTGCAGAAGCGCGATTGAGTGCGCATGCGCGCACAATACGTTGAAAGCGCCAGTCGCCTAATTTTGTTCCGTATACTTATGTCAAACGGCAAGCAAGAACGTCGATATTCTCAACTCTGTATAGACAAAGCTCTAACGCGCGCGCTTTGGTCACGTCAACGAAAGGAAATTATCGTTTGGCGATTATACCGTTGCTTAGTCGATATTGAACATTAAAGATGAATTCCAAGCAATTTATAGAAACGTTATACTTATACATAATCAATATTATGTATATGTATTGGAGAATTGATAGGAAGTGTAATTGCTTGATAGAAAGTTTTCTATGTTAATTCTTCTTATTATTAATTCTTATTAAGATATTTTGTATGATCTAAAAATTTATAGTATCGCTCATAGATATTTTAATTATATGCTATTAAGCTTCTTTTAATTAAGGTGATATAAATAGGAAAATTATTTTATAGGATGAAAATTAAAAGATATCGATAAATATTAATAAAAAAGCAACAAAATATAAGCAGTTCAATGGCACAAAAGAGATATGTTAATTATTTAGAATTAATGGCATGCAGCAGGTTAGCAAGATCGCATCCTATCTTATCCACGTAAGCAGTAAACTATCAGTTGTAATTCAAGTTGTACACGTTAATTCTTTGTTCCTGTGAGTTCAGATATAAAAG